TCTCTCTCTCTCTCTCTCTCTCTCTCTCTCTCTCTCTCTCTCTCTCTCTCTCTCTCTCTCTCGCCCGCGCGCAGCGTGTTATTGTTTTCCACTGAGGTGTGTTGTGCCTCTTTCTCGTCGCATGCCTTCCCCAATGGAGGCCAGCGCGATGAACGTCCACCATTCCGGTCGTTCCGTGGAAGACGCGATTGCGCTGATGGACTCCGGCTTCCCCCCTTTGGCGGTCCTTGACCCCTGCACAGCTGCTGCAGCAGCTGCAGGCGCCGGCGGCCATGGTCACCCGCTGCACCATACGGGAACTGGCAGAGGCGGCAACAACGACGGTCATTCTCTTATGACTACCTGTCGCGCGCCCTCTTTCTTGCAGCCGAGTGGCACGTCAGACATAATCCGACACGTTACGTCCACGTGTGGCGCCGGCGCGAAGTCGAACAACGGTGGGCCCGGCGACGGGGGGGGTGGGAAAATCCAGCTTCATATGCTTCGCCATGGCGCATCGCTGTCGGGACGTGGACATGGGGGAGACATGCGGGGAGATGATGATCTTGATCGTCCGCGAAGCCATGTCGGCGACAGGCTGTCCGACGTATCGGGGCGCCTGGATCGGGAGGGATCCCTGTCTGCGAACATGGTACCCGGTCAGCTGATTCGACAGCTGGCTGCCGCCGGCAGCGCCAGCCTGAGCTTGGTGTCGATGGACAGCCTGCCTTGCCACGGGGGTGCGATGACCGCGTGCATGCAAAGGAGTCTGGGAGCGGGAGGGGGAGGAGGAGGCAGTGGCTCGTTGGGCGGGCCAGGAGGGTCGGGGGCTGCCGACTCTGGCGCCGGGGGAGGGGTGATGGGCAATGCCAAGAAGATGGTTGTGCGGAAAGACAGGCATACCAAGGTGGATGGGCGAGGGAGGAGGATACGAATGCCAGCCCGGTGCGCCGTGGAGATATTCAAGCTCACCAAGGTGCTGGGCTATAAGTCCGATGGCATGACCATCGAGTGGCTGCTGCAGCAAGCCGCACCGGCTATCATGGAGAAGACAGGCAAGGCAGTCTGCATGCCGTCTAATTCCGGGGGACAGGGCGATCTTCACGGAGCGTCCGTCAGTGGCAGTGGGACAGGGCTTCCCAGGGCTCTCGTTCTAAAACCCGACCTGCGGAACGGATCGCTCGGTGGGCGTGGGATGGGCACGGGGGGGTGTGGGGGCGGAGGAGGGGCATTGGGAGGAGGCATTGGGATGAACTCCCAGGGAACGAGGGGCGGCGGCGGCAGAGTACTTTCCTCGAATGGCAACGGGACTGTGGTTAACGGTACCGGCCATCCAGGGGACAACCGAGGGTCGTCCAGTCTGCAAGAGCAGCACCATCAGCAGCAGTGCCACGGGGGGCAAAGTGACGCCATGTCAAGAGTAAACGCCTCCGAGGTGGAACAACAGCGGCTGCGCGAGCTCAAGGAGGAAAACCTAGATGTGTGCGACCTGAGGGTGGGCGTGGGCGGCGAGGGGTGCCGCGGGTCGGCCTCGGGATCCGGGTACGGCGGGCCATCTCTCCACTCTCCTCAGGTAAGCAACGATCAGTCGGGGCAGACGAGCATGAGCCCGTCGCAAATGGATCGCAGCCTAGGCGGGGGGGCGGACAAGGACTGGATGTCGTCGGGGGGGGCGAGTCCTCCGGGATCCACGCACTCCCTGAGCGCTGGCTGCAGAAGCAACGAAGGCACGGAGGACGGAGAGATGAAGGAGCTATTGTCCATGGATGGAATGAGGGCGGAAGACGGAGGCGGAGAACGTCGCAATCGTAGCTGCAGCAGCAGAAAACGCGACAGCAACGCCAGTCAATTGTCCGGAGATCCGGCACTTTCGACCATTGAGCGGATAAGCGTCCAGCTTTCGGATGCTAGTCCACGTCGGGGAGGGGGAGGGGGAGGGGGAGGGGGAGGGGGAGGGGAGCAGGGTGGTGGTCATCACAGTCATCACCAGCATCAGGGCCATCAGAGCGGGCTGGGGATGGGCAGCCCTCCACTGAAGAGATGGAGAACCCTGGGCGGAGCAGCGGGCAACTCTTCAGGGCCTACCATGATCAGCCTGTCCTTGGACAGGGACAGTCATCATGGCAATAATGGTGCCATTGGCAGGGGGGGAGCTGAGGGAGGAGGAGGGGGAAGGGGGGGAGGAGGTGGTGGAAGTGGGTTCGGATCCTATCCAGAGGTGGATTCTGCAGCCGCAGCAGCGTCGCTGTTCGGAAATGGGGGTAGTCACTGTTCCCCAGGCTCACTAACTTCCTGTGGTGGTCAGACGGTCAGCTCTGTGATCAGTGCTGTGAGCATCCACTCCCAGATGCAGGCGGTGTACCAGAATGCCGCTGCAGTCGCCGCCGCAGCGGCGGCTGCCGCAGGCGTGGGTAAGGCTAGCAGCCCGGCAGGGAGCATGGGCGGCAGCAGTGGGGTGATCAGCACCATGGGGTTGTCCTCGCACAGCTCGCCAAACAACAATAACCATGGCCAAGGGGGGGGAAGCATGGGATCGGAGAGCCCTCAGAGTACGCCCACAAGTGCTGCTGCCGCTGTGGCGGCAGCGGCCGCAGCCGCTGCTGCGGGCTCCTTCACCAGCTTGATGTTCCCAGCCTCGGGGGGGGGGGGGCTCTCCTGTGGGGGCCGCTCGCATAGCGGGCCCAAAGAGCACTCCCTCAGTCTTGGGCAATCACAGCAGCCAGTCTCGTCCGATTCCCGATACCTCAACAGCGAGCCGTCCTCCAGCAGCCACAATTCCAGCGGACTGCAGTACATTCCCATGTCGGCGGGCTGCGGGTTATCTCCCTGCCTGGTGGAGGGGGGAGCAGGGGAGGGAGAGGATCCCTGCCTGGGTGCAATGCAGTTGGGACCCGTCACGAGGTCATCCTGGAACCCTCGCCCTGGGATGAGTATGCCCGGATCGTCGTCCCCTCACCATCCTCGCCTTCCCACAAGGCACTTCTGCTCCTCCGTTGGATCACACACAACCCTTCTCCCCTTGCAGAGTGGCGGGGGAGGGGGTTTCAGAGGGGGCCCCGGCTCGGCTCATGCTGCCGAGATGCTGACCCAGATGGCTGGCCTGTGGCCCGGGGCGACAGGCGGGCTTGGTGCCGCCGGGTCTCGCAGTCCCTTCCACAGCCCGGCTGCGGCCGCTGCAGCAGCAGTTGCAGCCGCCGCTGTGGCTAACGATCGATGCATGATGGTCGGCTCAGGGAACTGCGGGAACAATCAAGGGTTCTCAGAAAGCGACAGCCAGAGGCTGGCCGCAGCAGTCGCTGCTGCAGCCGCTGTAGGTGCAGCTGCACTGCTCGAGGAGCATCACCAGAGTCATGGACGCGGCGGTTCCGGTATGTCTGGAAGAGACGCATCCGGAGGTATGGGTGGCGTCACTCGCAGCTTCCCAGTCGATTCCTCCGGAGATGGGAAGCGATAGCCCAACAGTTACTCATGGTAAATACTTCCCTAGTAAGGGACTGTGGATAACTTTCCTTAGTTCCTAACTTGGCCTCCAGCTTGAATTGGTTTCTTACAGAAGTTACAGTCGCTTGGCGTTGAACAGCGGCCCCATCGCTCTGGCTCTACCGTGACAGTTGACCTCCGTTGAGGCGTTGACCGAAGCCTCCATCGCTCGGGTGCTGCAGTTGACCACCGTTGAGGCGTTGACCGCAGCCTCCGTCTGACCGTCCTTGAACTTCAGCATAAGACTACAAGGAGCCTAATGGCCTATACGAAGGTGAAGCAGCAGCTGCAGTGGCAGGAGGAGGAGGAGGGGAGGAGGAGAATGAAGGTTATGGATAAGAAACAGGGATTCCGAGGAAGGAGAAGAGAGGACAAGGCAGGAGACTGGACTCTGGAGGTGTGCTGTACGTCGTAGTACGGAGTGAACTTGCTCCGAGAAGGGGTTTATTAATTCCAATGCTTGTTTTTTTTTGTGGGGGGGGGGTGGCCGACGTGATTTGTTAGTCTGCCATGAGAGAGTCCAACAATGAAGTCAGGAAAATTTATGATATTGAGATTAGACGCAATAAGGATCGACCAGTGTTCGACTAGTGGGGAATCCGGATGCCTATTCGTAGAGCAAGCAAGCCGTTTCCAGAAGATGACCGTGTTACTTGAACTTACTTCAGATAAGCTGACCCAGATTCGGACGAAGAGAATCGTTGGACTTTGAGATTGCAACTCCCAAGTTTGCGAAGATCGGTGAGGCAGAACTGACTTCAACTGAGTGTGTGAGCCATCACGATCGTCGATCGTATCGTTGGACTACTTCCAGCCTTCCAGGTTCCAAGGAAGAAGGAACGAACCTGCCCAGGGATTGACTACTCAGTCTACTCTATTGCGAATCGGAATTATTCTGAAAGAGTCTGAAAGAGTGTGAAACGCTCAATGACATCGCAAAGGCCTACCCATGTTCTATTCCGCATTCTGTAATTTCTGTCGAGTGCGGTCGTGGAGACAAAAAGGGATGGTTCTCGCATCAGGCGGCAGAAGGACAGACGAGGGCAAGCTTACCCGCTCGTCAGGATGGAATATTCTGAATGGGAACAGATTTGCCCTCAGGTGCAGAACGACCAACACCAGCACTAGGGCCGGAAGAAGCAAGAGCAGGAGCAGGAGCAGGAGCAGGAGCAGGAGCAGGAGCAGGAGCAGGAGGAGGAAGAGGAGGAGGAGGAGGAGGAGGAGGAGGAGGAGACAAGCAGAACATAGAGCAGAGGACCAGGAGCCGAAGTGTTTAGGGCAGTGACACCTCTGGCTGTGCTGGCAGAAGAGAACTACAGGAGGAGACGTAGAGAGACCGTCTGTTTGCCAAGGGGGGGGGGGAGAGGGGGGTGTCTAAGGGCCTGGCCTGGGAAGGGATATTTCATCTTTTTAAGTTTCTACTTACAACTATGTTCGGATGTTGCCGGAAAATAAAATACATTGGCCATCCACGTTTTTTTGATGGGGTATCACCGTATCAGCATATTT